GGATTTCCTGAAAACAAAGTTCAACTACTTTCTGATGTTACAGGTGCATTGAGGCCTGGTGTTCTTACAGCATTAATGGGGGTTAGTGGAGCTGGAAAAACCACTCTTCTTGATGTTCTTGCAGGAAGAAAAACTACTGGCTATATTGAGGGGGAAATTAAAATTGGCGGGTATCAAAAGGTTCAAGAAACATTCGCTAGAATTTCAGGTTACTGTGAGCAAACTGACATCCATTCTCCTCAAATCACAGTAGGAGAATCTCTGATGTTTTCTGCATGGCTACGACTGTCTCCTAAGATTGACTCTAAAACTAAAACTGTAAGAACACCCTACATACATCATTTTCGCTAATAGTATTGAAATAATGTACCCTCATTAAAGTTGCTATTGGCATGTTCTCACAGGCATTTGTAAATGAAGTCCTTGAGATCATTGAGCTTGATGAAATTAAAGATTCTTTAGTTGGGCTCCCAGGTAATAGTGGTCTATCAACTGAGCAACGCAAGCGCCTTACAATAGCCATTGAGCTTGTTGCGAATCCCTCTATAATCTTTATGGATGAACCAACAACCGGTTTAGACGCACGAGCAGCAGCAATTGTCATGCGAGTTGTGAAGAATATAGTTGAGACTGGAAGGACAATTGTATGCACCATCCACCAACCAAGTATTGACATTTTTGAAGCATTTGACGAGGTAAAAAAAGAAAGTTTTTAGAATTTGATTGTGAAATTCTGATGTTTCTTGGTATCACTTTATATTGTTTTAAGGCTTTACTGATACAATAACTTTCCGAATTTAGTTGATCCTTTTGAAGAGAGGTGGGCGTGTCATCTACTCTGGAGAATTGGGAAGGCATTCAAGAAAGCTTATAGACTATTTCCAGGCTAGTTTTCTATGCGTGTACTTGTTCTATAATATGCATTTTCTGGTTGCTTTTCGTAGATGATCTTTCATAAATCGTTGACGAAACAACTTTTACTAACAGGGTATCGTTGGAGTACCAAAGATTAAGGATAATTATAATCCAGCAACATGGATATTAGAACTCACTCCTCCATCTGTAGAAGCTGAACTTGGTGTAGATTTCGCTAAAATATACAAAGATTCTGTTCTAAATGAGTAAGTCCAGTTACAAAGATTCTAAATTGTGGTTTGTGTTCTGAATTTTAAATAAAGCCATAAACCTCTGGGAGTTTGTAGTTTTTTCTCTTATGAATTAATGTTATGTAGGAAAAACAAAGAGCTTGTAAGGGAGTCGAGTACCCCGCTTCCTGATTCAAGAGATCTACATTTCCCAACGCGGTTTGCTCAAAACTTCTGGGGGCAATTCAAGAATTGCCTATGGAAACAATACTTGTCTTACTGGAGAAGTCCTTCATACAACTTGCGTCGAATCGTGCATGTAATGGTAGCATCTTTTCTTTTTGGTGCACTCTTTTGGAACCAAGGAAGGAATATGTAAGTTCAAATGTTGCTTCTGATATACAGTTCTCATCCAAAAGGGATAACTTCTCGATCAAGAAACTGTTTGTGTCTGCCGGTACCTGACATTCTTTTTTTGGTTTTTCCTTTCAACCTGCAGGGTTGACGAGCAGAGTATCTTCAATATATTTGGTGCATTTTATGTTGCAGTGATATTCTTAGGCATGAATAACTGCTCAACGGTTTTACCATATGTTGCAATGGAACGAACTGTTATGTATCGAGAAAAATTTGCAGGGATGTACTCGCCATGGGCTTATGCATTTGCACAGGTACAATAATTTTTCCAACTAGTTATATATTTTATTTTTAAAAACACGGCTAAACTTATCTTATGATATGTGCATTAATTTATTTTGCAGGTGGCAGTTGAGATTCCTTATATATTTTTTGAAGCATTTGTGTTTGTACTAATCACCTATCCGATGATGGGATTTTATTGGTCAGTGTATAAGATTTTCTGGAATTTTTATGCCGTTTTCATGACAATGTTGTACTTCAATTATTTGGGCATGCTCCTTGTGGCATTGACACCAAATGAATTGGTTGCTTCAATTCTATCCTCAGTTTTCTACACCTTATTCAGTCTATTTTCCGGATATCTCATGCCTCAACCGGTAAGCTAATAAACTCAACAAGATAGCACATAAACTATATACATCGATTCTAAATCAATACATTTGAATTTAACAAAAAACATTGCTACTCCTTTGCAGCACATTCCAAAGTGGTGGATTTGGTTGTATTATTTAACCCCTAATTCGTGGACACTGAACGCTTTGATCACTTCACAATATGGAGATATCAACAAGGACATTAATGTATTTGGAGAAACAAGAAGTCTATCTTTCTTCATTGAAGATTATTTCGGTTTTCACCATGATCGCTTGGCTATTACTGGTGTTGTTCTTCTTGCATTTCCCTTATTTTTCGCTTCTCTTTTTGCATATTTGATTGGACGGTTGAACTTCCTCAGAAGGTGAAACATTTGTAGAGTATGAAAATGTTGCACATTGTCTAATATGCCATATTTGTATAAATTTCTATACATTGTGAACAATACTGTTGTCAATGGTTATTTTGTAACTTTTATATCTTTCTCTAACATATTTTAAATTTTAAGTCTCCAACTCCAAAGTTTTTGGGTGCTTGGGTACATTTGATATTAGGATTTAATTTCATTATAATATCACGCGTCATGAGTTGATCTCTAGGAAAATCAAATTATTCCTATCAAATTCGATTTATAAAGATTGCTAAACTAAGGGGGAAAAAAAAGTGGTGATTGCAATAAATCCCCAAAAATGAGTGAAAGCTCACTCCCATTCCGACCTCAGTTTAGATAGGATAATCCGTTGAGTTTAAGGATATCAATAACTAGAAAAAAGAAACTTACCAAGATTCTTTTACTAACAGGGAGCCAAGTAGGAAGAACTCAGCTCCAATATTAGGTAGTCATGTCGTGACGTCAGAATTGTAGTCTAGAGAAGTATCCTCGGATAAAAAATCATTATTACAAAATGCCTAAACTCAAAAATTCAAAAATCCTCACCCTAGTTCTGAAAACACATCAGTAGCTCCGGGGCCTACGTAGTCTTATTACCCAGGCCTGGGTTTTAAAAATCACTATATAAATGAAAAATTCAAACTCTTTTTACATATAAAGGTGGCAGTGGGCCGTGTTGTGCTAAAATTTTCACAGCCCACCATGTCATGGATCATGTCGTGCCATGCCAGACAACCAAAACTCAAGGCACATGGCATGTGCCTTCGTGGGCCGGCATAGGCTATATTAATTTTTAAAATTTGTTGGCCATGCCATGCCAAACTCAAGGCCCACGACACAACCCACATGGGCCACAAGTCATGGCATGGCACGAAATTTTCGTGCCATGCCAAAAAAATTGTAGGCCGTGCCAATTTACATATGTATATCTAGCTTGCTCCCCGCCTCTAGATTTCATTTCATTTTCAGTTTAGTTTATTTGATTCTTGAGATGAACAAATATGTACTTTTACCTTAAAGAAAATATAGGCTCCGTTTGGTTCACATTTTTACATTTTTGGGAAATTTTTTTTGAAAAAAGTTAAAAAAAAAAGTTGAATTGGGCAGGTATTACGATGTAGGATTTATAAATTAATAAAATACCCCCTATGTTTGTTTTTTTAAAAAACACCCCTATAATAAAACATTAAAAGTTAACAAAAATACCCCCAACCCACCCATCAAATACGGACAGCCGGCCACCACCGCTGGAGGGTGGTCGGAGTCGCCGTATCGGCGTATGACCGGCTGGATCTTACCGGTCGTGCGTCGATATGGCCTTTTCTGGCCAGATCTACGGTGGATCTGGTTGGCAAAGGCCAGATAATGGCCAGATCTAGCCGCATTTGCTCGTCAACGACGGTCAAAGATACGGCTGTTGTTGATGGTCAACGATGACCATATGTTGGCCGTCGTTGACGTCTAGTTACGGCCAAAGATCTGGCTATCAACGGCCAGATCTTTGGCCTTAGATTTGGCCTTTTTCGGCCAGATCTACTATGGATCTGGCCGGAAAAGGCTAGATCGACGTATTACCGGCAAGATCCAGCCGGTAGTGTGCCATCCTATCAGATTTCGGCTAACTTCCGATAGTGGTGGCCGGAATCTGGTATAATGTAGGTTTAGGGGTGTTTTTACAATTTCGAAAAAAAATATTTAGGGGTATTTAATTAAATTAACAAATTTATGGGGATTAAAAAAAGTTGAATAATATTGGATAATATTGTGAGTTTTTGGGCATTTTATTGTTTAACTTTTTTGGGAATACTAATAATAGTATTCCCAAAAACCAACCAAACGGAGCCACAATAAACCTAACACGGTACCATAATTTTTCCAACTAGTTATATATTTTATTTTTAAAAACACGGCTAAACTTATCTTATGAATGTGCATTAATTTATTTTGCAGGTGGATAGCTGAAGTTACTTGTTATTAGCATAAACTGAACCCACCAATCAAAATCTGGAGAAAGAAACTCACTGCATTGTGCTTCTTGATGTTTTTTTTTTTTTATAGATGCTGCCTACAAATACTACAATAGGGAATGAAATACTTGACAGCCGCGGAATAAACTACAAAGGATATTTCTTCTGGATATCACTTGGTGCCTTGTTTGGATTTACATTACTTTTTAATACTGTCTTTGTCTTGGCCTTAAGTTTCTTGAAGCGTAAGTTGTTCTCGATTTAATATCTTAACTAAAGAAAATCATACTAGCGCCTGTTTCGTAACTCAATAAAATGCAAATGCAGCTCCTGGATCATCTCGTGCCAAGATTTCACGGGAAAAGTTTGCCAAGATACAAGGAAGTCAAAACTCCAATGATGGTGAACTTATAGAAGAAAAGACTAGAAATCCTCCTAATCAAGGATCTAATAAAGGTTAACTAAGTTCCTCATATTGAAACCTGCTCTGTCATTTTTGTTTCCAATTCAATGTTTGACATTTCTTCAATATTTTCAGGCAGGATGGTCTTACCTTTTCAACCACTAACACTAACATTTGAGAACATGAACTACTTTGTCGACACTCCTTTGGTATTCATCATTAACCGTTCTATATTGGCCATCAGTGTCATTGTAGGATTCTTCCTTGGAGGCATTAGATCTAATTATATAATTTTTCACTTTGGTTTTAGGAAATGAGAGAACAAGGATATCCTGAAAACAAAGTTCAACTACTTTCTAATGTTACAGGTGCATTGAGGCCTAGTGTTCTTACAGCATTAATGGGGGTTAGTGGAGCTGGAAAAACCACTCTTCTTGATGTTCTCGCAGGAAGAAAAACTACTGGCTATATTGAGGGGGAAATTAAAATTGGCGGGTATCAAAAGGTTCAAGAAACATTTGCTAGAATTTCAGGTTACTGTGAGCAAACTGACATCCATTCTCCTCAAATCACAGTAGGAGAATCTCTGATGTTTTCTGCATGGCTACGGCTGTCTCCTAAGATTGACTCTAAAACTAAAATTGTAAGAACACCCTACATACATCATTTTCGCTAATAGTATTGAAATAATGTACCCTCATTAAAGTTGCTATTGGCATGTTCTCACAGGCATTTGTAAATGAAGTCCTTGAGATCATTGAGCTTGATGAAATTAAAGATTCTTTAGTTGGGCTCCCAGGTAATAGTGGTCTATCAACTGAGCAACGCAAGCGCCTTACAATAGCCATTGAGCTTGTTGCGAATCCCTCTATAATCTTTATGGATGAACCAACAACCGGTTTAGACGCACGAGCAGCAGCAATTGTCATGCGAGTTGTGAAGAATATAGTTGAGACTGGAAGGACAATTGTATGCACTATCCACCAACCAAGTATTGACATTTTTGAAGCATTTGACGAGGTAAAAAAAGAAAGTTTTTAGAATTTGATTGTGAAATTCTGATGTTTCTTGGTATCACTTTATATTGTTTTAAGGCTTTACTGATACAATAACTTTCCAAATTTAGTTGATCCTTTTGAAGAGGGCTGGGCGTGTTATCTACTCTGGAGAATTGGGAAGGCATTCAAGAAAGCTTATAGACTATTTCCAGGCTAGTTTTCTATGCGTGTACTTGTTCTATAATATGCATTTTCTGGTTACTTTTCGTAGATGATCTTTCATAAATCGTTGACGAAACAACTTTTACTGACAGGGTATCGTTGGAGTACCAAAGATTAAGGATAATTATAATCCAGCAACATGGATATTAGAACTCACTCCTCCATCTGTAGAAGCTGAACTTGGTGTAGATTTTGCTAAAATATACAAAGATTCTGTTCTAAATGAGTAAGTCCAGTTACAAAGATTCTAAATTGTGGTTTGTGTTCTGAATTTTAAATAAAGCCATAAACCTCTGGGAGTTTGTAGTTTTTTCTCTTATGAATTAATGTTATGTAGGAAAAACAAAGAGCTTGTAAGGGAGTCGAGTACCCCGCTTCCTGATTCAAGAGATCTACATTTCCCAACGCGGTTCGCTCAAAACTTCTGGGGGCAATTCAAGAATTGCCTATGGAAACAATACTTGTCTTACTGGAGAAGTCCTTCATACAACTTGCGTCGAATAGTGCACGTAATGGTAGCATCTTTTCTTTTTGGTGCACTCTTTTGGAACCAAGGAAGGAATATGTAAGTTCAAATGTTGCTTCTGATATGCATTTCTCATCCAAAAGGGATAACTTTTGGCTCAAGAAACTGTTTGTGTCTGCCGGTACCTGACTTTCTTTTTTTGGTTTTTCCTTTCAATCTACAGGGTTGACGAGCAGAGTATCTTCAATATATTTGGTGCATTTTATGTTGCAGTGATATTCTTAGGCATGAATAACTGCTCAACGGTTCTACCATATGTTGCAATGGAACGAACTGTTATGTATCGAGAAAAATTTGCTGGGATGTACTCGCCATGGGCTTATGCCTTTGCACAGGTACAATAATCTTCCCAACTAATTATATATTTTATTTTTAAAAACACAGCTAAAATTATCTTATCATTAATTTATTTTGTAGGTGGCAGTTGAGATTCCTTATATATTTTTTGAAGCATTTGTGTTTGTACTAATCACCTATCCGATGATGGGATTTTATTGGTCGGTGTATAAGATTTTCTGGAATTTTTATGCCGTTTTCATGACAATGTTGTACTTCAATTATTTGGGCATGCTCCTTGTGGCATTGACACCAAATGAATTGGTTGCTTCAATTCTATCCTCAGTTTTCTACACCTTATTCAGTCTGTTTTCCGGATATCTCATGCCTCAACCAGTAAGCTAATAAACTTGACAAGATAGCACATAAACTATATACATCGATTCTAAATCTACATTTGAATTTAACAAAAAACATTGCTATTCCTTTGCAGCACATTCCGAAGTGGTGGATTTGGTTGTATTATTTAACCCCTAATTCATGGACACTGAATGCTTTGATCACTTCACAATATGGAGATATCAACAAGGACATTAATGTGTTCGGAGAAACAAGAAGTCTATCTTTCTTCATCGAAGATTATTTCGGTTTTCACCATGATCGATTACTGGTGTTGTTCTTCTTGCATTTCCCTTATTTTTCGCTTCTCTTTTTGCATATTTGATTGGACAGTTGAACTTCCTCAGAAGGTGAAACATTTGTAGAGTATGAAAATGTTGCACATTGTCTAATATGCCATATTTGTATAAATTTCTATAAATTGTGAACAATACTGTTGTCAATGGTTATTTTGTAACTTTTATATCTTTCTCTAACATATTTTAAATTTTAAGTCTTCAACTCCAAATTTTTCAGGTGCTTGGTACATTTGATATTAAGATTTAGTTTCATTATAATATCACGTGTCATAAGTTGATCTCTAGGAAAATCAAATTATTCCTATCAAATTCGGTTTATAAAGATTGCTAAACTAAGGGAAAAAATAAAAAAACAAGTGGTGATTGCAATAAATCCCCATAAATGAGTGAAAGCTCACTCCCATTCCAACGTTAGGTTAAATGGGATAATCCATTGAGTTTAAGCATATCAATAACAAGAAAAAAAGAAACTTACCAAGATTCTTTTACTAACGGGGAGCCAAGTAGGAAGAGCCCAACTCCAATAACAGGCGGTCGTGTCGTGACATCAGAATTGTAGTCTAGAAAGCATCCTCGGATAAAAAATCATTATTAAAAAATGCCTGAACTCAAAAATCCAAAAATCCTCACCCTAGTTCCAAAAACACTTCAATAGCTCACTGCCAAGCAATATTGCCATTGAATTATTCATTAAGTAGATCATATATAGAGATGTCATCTGGGGCCTGCGTAGTCTTATTACCCAGGCCTGGGTTTTAAAAATCACTATATACATGAAAAATTCAAACTCTTTTTTGTATTTTACATATAGAGGTGATGGTGAGTTGTGCCGTGCTGTGGCAAAATTTTCATGGTCCACCGTGCCATGAGCCATGCTGTGCCACGACTCACAAAAATGTGGGTCGTGTCGTGCCATACCAGACAACCAAAACTCAAGGCCCATGACATGTGCCTTCGTGGGCTAGCATAGGTTAATAGTTCAATTTTTTTTAAAATTTGTGGGTTGTGCCGTGCTAGCCCACATGCCAAACTCAAGGCCCATGGCACGGCCCACATGACCCATGAGCCATGGCACGATACAAAATTTTCGTTCGTGCTATGGTAGGCCGTGCCAGTTTACATATGTATATCTAGCTTCCGGCCAACCTCTAGATTTCATTTCATTTTCAGTTTAGTTTATTTGATTTTTGAGATGAACAAATATGTACTTTTACCTTAAAGAAAATGCAATAAACCTAACATATTCTGTTAGTAAACGGTACAGAGGGAAGGTGTGAGAGAATTTTTGCAATTTGAAGAGAGGTTAGAGATGCTATTTTAAATGGGTTGGGTGTCCTTGAGAAAAATGTAAACCTTAAGGTGGTGTTTGGTTTGCGGTAATGTCATATTATTGGGGTAATGTCATCTTATATTACTTGATTACCACGTTAGGTTGTCAAGTAATATAAGATTCCGATAATCTTCAAATACCAATAGTAGTTATTATTGGTAATATTGGAGGTAATCTGATTACCTCCATTTTCTTAGGTATTCTGAGATTACCAGGGTTATCATTTTTTGTTACCATTTTATCCCTTATTAATGAAAATTTTGGACAATAATGCCTTCATTTTAAAATAAATTTACATTAATATCCTATTTCAATTTTACCCTTATTTAACTAAAATTTTGGACAATAATGTCCTTATATTTAAAACAATTTACAGACCACCACTGTTACTCAGCCACCACCACCACTGCCACCTAGCCACCACCACCGACAGCAGCCAACCACCATGGATCGCTGCCGAAAACTCGCTGGAGTCCCTAAAAAAGAAAGAGTTTTGGTGGGAGGCTTCGGGAGGCTTNGTGAACAATACTGTTGTCAATGGTTATTTTGTAACTTTTATATCTTTCTCTAACATATTTTAAATTTTAAGTCTCCATCTCCAAATTTTTCAGTTGCTTGGGTATATTTGATATTAGGATTTAGTTTCATTATAATATCACGCGTCATGAGTTGATCTCTAAGAAAATCAAATTATTCCTATCAAATTCGGTTTATAAAGATTGCTAAACTAAGGAAAAACAAAAAAACAAAAAAAACAAGTGGTGATTGCAATAAATCCCCATAAATGAGTGAAAGCTCACTCCCATTCCGACCTTAGGTTAAATGGGGTAATTCATTGAGTTTAAGCATATCAATAACAAGAAAAAAAGAAACTTACCAAGATTCTTTTACTAACGGGGAGCCAAGTAGGAAGAACCCAACTCCAATATCAGGCGGTCATGTCGTGACATCAGAATTATAGTCTAAAGAAGCATCCTTGGATAAAAAATCATTATTAAAAAATGTCTGAACTCAAAAATCCAAAATTCCTCACCCTAGTTCCAAAAACACTTTAATAGCTCACTGCCAAGCAATATTACCATTGAATTAGATGATATGTAGAGATGTCATCCGGGGCCTACGTAATCTTATTACCCAGGCCTGGGTTTTAAAAATCACTATATAAATGAAAAATTAAGACTCTTTTTTGTATTTTACATATAGAGGTGATGGTGGGCCGTGCCGTGTTGTGCCAAAATTTTCATGGCCCACCGTGCCATGAGTCGTGCTGTGCTACGGCTCACAAAAATGTGGGTCGTGTTGTGCCATACCAGACAACCAAAACTCAAGGCCCATGACACATGCCTTCGTGGGCTGGCATAGGTTAATAGTTTAATTTTTTTAAAATTTGTGGGTTGTGCCATGCTGGCCCACATGCCAAACTCAAGGCCCATGGCACAGCCCACATGACCCACAAGCCATGGCACGACACAAAATTTTCATTCGTGCTATGGTAGGCCGCGTTGGTTTACATATGTATATCTAGCTTGCTGCCCACCTCTAGATTTCATTTCATTTTCAATTTAGTTTATTTGATTTTTGAGATGAACAAATATGTACTTTTACCTTAAAGAAAATACAATAAACCTAACAGATTTTGTTAGTAAACGGTACAGAGGGGAGGTGTGAGAGAATTTTTGCAATTTGAGGAGAGGTTAGAGATGCTATTTTAAACGTGTTAGGTGTCCCTAAGAAAAATGTAAACCTTAAGGGAAATGAGGGATATCAAAAGCTTAGAACTATATATATACAGTAAAATCTCTCTATAGTCATAATGGTGGAACTAACTAATTTTATTACTATAAGGAGGTTATAACTTAATGGAGGTATAGTTACAAAAATTATAGTTTTGATTTCTTATTTTATAATTCATGTATTAGTAGTACAGTATTAGAATTTCAATTCGTATTTTAGTAATATTAGGATTTCAATTCAGCGCTTCAATTGCCTACTTTTGAAATGGATAAAAGATCATTTCTTAGAACCAGCAAAAATAAGTGTCATTGATGGACCTGTAAATGGTTTTAAGTGCATGGTCAATTGATGTGAAGCCACAAACAATTGTCAATGGTTTTAAGCGCTGCAAAATTAAGACCACTAATGTTAATGAATTGTAAGTTACAAATAAAGTGGATGAAAAGAATAAAAGAGAAACTATAGAATTGAGTGATAAGATTTGACAACTTCAATACACTAATCGAATGGATATTAATGTTTTCTTCGATTATCCAAATGAGCAACAAATTGTGTATGCTTTAACCAAAGGAGAAATCATTGTTGCAATTAGACAATAAGAGAAAGGAAATAATCCTAAGGATAATAGTACGGAAATACAAAAAGTCTTGTGTCATGAAACTCTAAACATGCTTAAAAAAATAAAAATATTTTGGCTTCAACAAGAAGGTATACATGCTAACGAGCTATTATGTACTCGTAAGGTAAAAGATGTGATAATAATTATAAAGCAAAAATCATTGTCCCAAACAATTTTAAATAAATATTTTATTTCATTTTAAACTTTTAATTTTATATAACATTTTTTTTTTTTGTAATATACAGATAACTTTCCTTAAGGTGGAAATTAGAAAAATTATAACTTATTACAATATAGAGTTTACTCTTATTTATAACTATCCCAAATTGGGACTAGAATTTTTTATGATTATGTAGAGTTTATTCTTATATAGAGTATCACTATAGAGAGGTTATTCCTATATATATATATATATATAATTCCCATCGATTATTTTTGAGTTGGATCCCTCATATGTAATATTCAAATAAATTTTTTTAATCAATTTAAATCTTACCTAAATCCCTTTTATGTGTACTCATTTAAAAGTGAGGGATCTACATCTTAGATATTAATATTGTGTCTCTCACGTTTAAATGAGTACATATAATTTTAAAAGCAATTTAGATAAGATTTAAATTGATTAAAAATAATATATTTGAATATTATATATAAGGGATCCAATTAAAAAATAATAGATTTGAATATGTGATTATTTTAGTGGCGTAATTTCAAGAAACTAAACTAAGAAGGATTGAAATAATGAACAAAAAAATGAGGTCTGAAATCAGAAGTTTTTATTAACTCTTTCTGTCACTTGTGTTGTGTACATAGAATGAAAATGGGCTGAATTTATAGGCATTTATCACTCCCCTCAAAACCCAATAGGAGCATGCCAAAGACTAAAGCATGTGTTAACTACGACACATGTTCTTCATTACATGTGGAATGTGGTGGATAAGCCACCATTTATAACACTCCCTTTTGGATTTCTATCACTTACAAACAATTACATTTAACCTTAGGGAAAACCCAGTGGGACAAAAACGTAAGTAAAGAAATACAATTTTATGATGAACAATAAAGTGGTGTTAGACATGCTTAATACTGCCTCGTTAAAAATCTTGCGAAGAAAACCCAATAGGACAAAACCTAGTCAAGGGAAAAAAGTGTAGTGTACATATATCTAGTACAATAGTCATTTCCAAACTCCCTCTAATTGATTCTCCCCTTGATCAACGCTCCCCCTCATAATGACAAAATTAACTTAATTATTTATTAAGTCGTTGCATATCGATGTCATACACTAACTTTTCAAATGTTAATGTTGGTAAGGTCTTAGTGAATAAATTTGCAAGATTATC